GGTCCTGGGATGTGCCCGTGTGGGCATCGCGCCTAGTGATTCCCGTTTCCTGTGTTATGTGTCGCATGAGAGTTCTGTACAGAATAAAGGATTTTGGTTGATGTAATTTTTTCAACCTTCTGATTTTCATGCATTTGAAACAATAAAGCTGTATTGCTATTAGAACTTTGAAAAAAAAGAGATTATTTTTTCCCTCGTGTGGGATGGTGAAAAGCAGAATTAATTTACAGCTAATGAAAGACTGGGTTTGCTCACTATATATGTAACATTTTAGGAAAATACATTTAAATACAAGCTGTTAAATGTATAGTGAACTAAAGCAGAGCTGATGCGATGCCAGAGCTAAACCATTGTCAGGAAAAGGAGTAAGTGGCGCAACACTTGTTTAGCATGCTTTTGCTATTACAGATGGCTACTCTCTGTAAATTACTGTTACGTTTAGTAGCTGTGGCTTTAATTTTATAAAAGCTGGTTTGAAGCAAGTCTGCAAAACACTCTTTGTCTGTCGCCTTACCTAGGGAGAGTGCATTAGGTATCTCTGCCCATCTATTCTGCAGTGCGCAGCACTGATAATGCCCCCTCGTCTATATACAGCACCTGCTTTGCCACCAGTCAGTCTTACACATTGCTGCTATCGTTGTTGCTGTAGGAGCATTCGATCTCCAACCAGATGATGTTCACTTAGTGACTTTCTGCGTAACAGGTGAGAAAACCTTTCCTTGTTTTTTGAGGTGTCTTTAGCCACAGAAATCAAAGTGCAGGGGTCTTTTCACACACAGCTTTTTTCTCTGTCCTGTAAGAAAGAACAGCACGAGTCCTTAATAACGATTTGTAGTTTTTAGTTTTATTGCTGTTAGTGTGTGTGGTGATGTCAAATAGACAAGGCAGCAAAGATTGTCTCCTTGCCCAGTGCTGCTGAAATGCAACTGATAGTCAAACCACCTGTGAGTGTTACGAGGTTATTTTGCCACCTTTGTCCTGCGGAAAGAGACCAAGTACCTACGGCTTCCTTAAAAGACCATTGAGAAAGGCACTTGCAGACCTTTGAGCTGCTGGGTTGTTTGACCTGCCTCTCTGCAGGTTTGAATGAATTCATAAGCTCGTTCAGTTAGTTCATAGTGTGTGATGTCACATAAAGGAAGAAGTAATTTCGTTTTCTTCATATCACATGTGGGTCGCATTTCCATCATCTTTCCATTTCAGCGCTGTTGGTGACTTACATCTTTGAAACTTGGCATCATGGTAGTTTTGCAAGGTGGTTTGGTTTTATTTTTTCCCTGTAAATTGCTTGTGCAGAAAGTCAACCGAGCATTGGCTGGAGCTGGCCCTACTATTAGGAGAGGGAGAGTTCTACTCCAGGCCCCAAGTGTGGTGTTATTTACCTGTGCCTCCCTTTCCATATTTCTTTTCGGCTTTCTTTTTTTTTTCTGTCTTTATGCAATATCATCAGATCTGTTCTTCTCTAACACACAGCTAAGTGAACGCTGCTCAGAAAAAAATCCAGAGTTTGACTCTTTTTTTTTTTTCTTTCTTTTTTTTCTTACAGAACTAAATGACAGAGAAGAAAAGGATATTCACTTTCCAATCATTTATGGAATAGGTGAGTTAAATTAGAATTCAATTACTTTTTTGTAACTGGATTGCTTTTCAGATTGCAATTGTAAATGGGCTGCTTTTAATGACTAGGTAAAGCCTGTCCTAAAAGTTAAGTGCTGCTGTTGGAGGCGTAGGCAGACATAGAAGTTTTCTTCTGCTGCCACAGTTAGGTAGAAGCACTCGTGGAAGTGGCAAGTGTATAAAGGCAAGCAGATTTTTTTCATTTAACTGTACTTATGATTTTGTCAGTATCAAGCTACTGTATTGTAACCATTGGGGTTAGAATTCAACCTTCTTTTCATTGTTCATTGTGTGTTTTTTCTAATTAGTTTAAGTCTGAAAATGCTCTTCTGCTATATTGAAATGCTGCCAAAGCAAAATAAGTAGAAATATGCTAGCGGAAGCCAAGGGGTCTGTGAAATACCAGAACAGTATTAGATGGGTTCTAAAGTTCCTGCAACATAGTCGTGTTGGGGACATGGCCATTTTAAACAAGTGTTTTGTAAGAATGAATTAATTGTTTCTGTATTTCAACTCTTATTTCCTACCAGCGGTGAATGTTAAAACAGCAGAGATTTTCCCTGCAACCTTCCCAGAAAAAGGGCCGGACGAGGATTTGCGTTCAGCCCATGTTTTAACGGGAGCAACAGTGAGTAAAAATAACAGGAGGAGAAAAGGGTATTTTTGCTGGAAGGGGAGACCCCTTAGGGGCAATGAAATGTCAAAAGTTTGAGGAAGAAATACTTGGGTAGAGTTGTGTCAGTGACAAAACAACTGAGGAAGATGGAAGAGCAGAGGCAAGGGATAGTGGTGGAGGGCAGACCACTTCTGCAAGGGTAAGCCTTGTTTGGAAGTACAGCACACTCACGTGCTATTACGACCAGCCCTGCAGCTTTCAGAGATTCAGGTTGTGGGCATAATCCCAGCAGGATCTTTCAGTTCTGGGTTTGTTGTTAAGTTTTATGTCTTGTTTGTGAGAATAATTGGTTAATCTTGATGTACAGGGGAATGAAGAGGGGCTGAGCTGGCACACAGTCTGTCTAAGACAGAAGCTGCAGCTTAAAGCCTTGCAGATTAAGTGAATTTGCCATCTCTTCCATCTGTGTAAGCGTTGTCTAACTCTCAAGGCTCCTTGTGTTGCTACAGCTGACTAACATTTACGATGCAAAGATGGAACAACTACATATTGGGCCTTATTTCTGGAGGCCTTTCCCACATGTGGATTTCTGGTTGGAACAAGATGATAAACAGATTTTACAGGTACCTGAAAGTGACTTTGTTCTTCTAGCTGAGTAGAGAGGGGTGTGCTCTGTCACAACTTTTCCCAGTGTACTGCTGGGGAGGGTGGGAAATAACTGTATTAAAAGGCAGAATAATTACAAACTCTGTATTCTGAATGTCAAGCAGCTCTTGCTACTGTCTTGTTTTTCAGAATCTTTCCACATCGCCCCTGGCTGAGCCACCCCACTTTGTTTCCCACATTAGAGCTACATTATCATTTTTAAAAGAACATCCATTTCCGTCTCGGTCCCTGTTTCCTGACAGGAAACCTCGCATCTACAAAAAAAATGAAGAAGGGTTGTGGGAACAGGTTTGTTCTGACAAAACCTAACCTGGAACCAACAACTGGAGCTGCTTTAGGGAAGTATACTCTTGCAAGAGCAGCAATTTGTTGCAAAAAAGATATTGCTGGTCACAAATACCATTGCTCCTGTGCTTTTCAAAATAAAATATTTTGACATAAATAACTTGCTTTTTCTGCATTACTTACGTAGGAGTCACTGCTACTTTGAAGTAAGAATTTGGCTTTATGTTCTGTTGCTGCAGTGCAGTAATTTGATCGGCACAGAGGTAGCAGTGCTGAGAGACGGAGAAGGTAAGTCATTACAGTGGTGTGTACTTTAGAAAATTATTTTCCACTCAAAGTGAAAGGAAGTTGCACACAAAGCTGAGTGCAAGGTAGGGAAGCATCCTTCAACAATAACTTAATTCAAGAGTAATAATTTGAAGAATCTTTATTGAAACATTCAGATAGTATCTAAAGAATGAAACTCATTCCAACAAAAACTACTGGTTTAACACTTCCAAATATAAAAACATTAAAAATTAATCCTTGTGGTGATAACCTTATCTCCACAAGTTACTCTTATTAACATACTTCATTGCACCAAAGAAACCAATGAGGAAGACTAGTCAGCTTAATCGGTTTTGCACTTAAGAAAAATTGCACTCTGATTTACTGAAGTTATCCCAACAGCGATGCCGACCCTGTGCGTGGCCCGCCCGCCCCACAGGAGCTAGAAGCTGGGAGTCAAATCAGGTGACAGTACAATTCAAAACCCCAAAATTTTCAGATTACCAAAGTGAGTCCTGCTACTAATACAGCCATGATGGTGTTAACATGTATCTTTTAGGGGGGAGAAAAAAGCCCAAGCAAAAAACAAATGAGGCAAACTAGGGATGGCATGCTTTTCCTCAAAATCAGATCCTTGGGGAAAGCACGCTTTTCCAAGGATCTCCTTTCCACCAGAGGCTCTGAAAATTTGCAGCAAAGTGATTAAAGTAAGGGGGGGGGGGGGGGGGGGGGGGAGTTTTCATTGGAATAGCTTTTGATTTATCCAAAGATTTGCTTGTGCATTAAGCAGTGCTAGACCCTAAGAAGTCGTGCTGTAGTGTAAATAACGTGTATCAGTTCTTTGAGTCTGTACAATTCATACCATAGGTAAGTTACTGTTACTCAAAAATAAGTGTTGAAACCATCACAAATGTATTGGTTTTCCAAGCTTTACTACAACTATCTGTAAAAAGATACAACAGAAAGAACTCCAGTTACACTACATAAATGTGTTCAATAGTATTTGGTTTATAAATGCCGTGCAAAGGAAAATAATGGTGTGTTGGGGATTCTTTCCAGGGGCAGAAGCAAGAAGCCATTTAGGCATGCAGAGGCACTATTTCTTTCTAAAAGGCTTAAAACTCATTCACTCAGTCCCCACTGTAGCTAGGGCCTTGGCTGAGTGGCTCAAGTCATACCACAGCAGGAAAAAATGGTTGATGGCAAAGTACTATTCCATGACCCCTATATACACAGACACCCATCCCTAATGCTCGCCGCACCGCGACTGTTCAGCAGTGTTCGTTCTTTATAAGGGTAAGAAAAGAAGCAAAACAGAGCTAGTGTTGATTTCAGTAGATGTTTTGCAGGAGAGGCTAAACTGAAGTTTAAATATTAAAAAGGTGAACAATTGGCAGTTGATTTTTTCTTAACATAAAATAAAGATCATTTTACAATTATTGGGTGCAACTGTATTCTTAATCTTGTGTATGGCTGATTGGTCAGTTAGCAACTATTTATCATGCTTAGGTTCCTACAGGAAGGATAACTGCCAATTGTTTTTACAAATGTTTATGAGCAATTAATAAATTTCACTAGTACTTTGGTGACACTGACACATAGAAGATTAAAGCAACTGTAACAAGTGTACGAGAAGACAAATCTCTGTCCCATGGTGGGGAATCTATATTTGTGCAAAATCCCAGTTAGTAAGTTACAGTAGTTATTACTGTACTAGTGTGTGGCACTGTTCACATCTTAAATGCATTGTTAATACCCTGCCTCCCAGGGCATGGGCTTCCTCTGCAAAGTCTGAAATCCAGAGTCTGGATTTTATCTTTGACTTTCTTGCTCCTCTACCTTTGTGCAGTCATGTGGTGATTTGTCACTTGGAATGTCCTCACTGTCTGTCTTTGTTGCCTCTGCCACCTCCTTCTGCTCCTCTGTTTTTTCTGTCTCCAAAGGTCCTTGCTCTTGGCCAGGGGATAGAGTTGGGGGTCTCTGATCCATCTTCTCCAGGTCATCACAGTGGCTGACAGAACTGGTCTCACTGAATGCATCAGAACTTCTCAGAGACCTTTTAAAAATTTTCTGACCTGTAAAGTGATTGAAGAAAACAGTACCAATGGAGGCAGAAAATACAAGATGTGGTAGGCACAAATTAAGTTTCAAAGAAAGTATCTGAATTTTACAGCTGCAAAGAAATAGATTTTATTTGGGTGCTAACTTGCACCCTAAAGAGCCATACTTTCATGCAGTTACAGATATGGATGTACAGCAGTAGCTTCTCTTATTTTATCCTATGTACACAGAGACTGTTAAAATTCAGCTGAAAACCAAGCTGCCTACGTGCACAGTGATGAAGTCATTCTAGGGTAAAAACCTGCACTGAGAACGGCAGGCTGGAAGCCAACCAACTCAAAAGGTGAGTTAAAACTATGGTTTTCCTGCCACTCAAATCAACATTAATTACTAATGCAGCTACAAAGAAAGTGCCATAGATTTAATAATCTTCACTTAGAATGACTTAATTCACAAAATATTAGGTAGCAACAGAAATGCAGTTGCTCAAGTACATGATTATACATTATTTATGCTCTTATTCCAAATAAAACTTTTAGCTTGTTTACCTGCTAATTTTTAAAAATAACCTCATAATATTACAGAGGAAGATTCTGGACCTCATGGGATAGAAACTTCCTGGGGTCCAGGAAAAATTCTTGGGGAGAAACCACCACTTGGGTGGTGTTCTGTGCTCTGTTTAAATGAGGTTTTTACTGCAGACTTAAGGCACTAGAAGATGAGCTCTAGTTCCAGATACTATGAAAGACAGAAAATCACGTGGGTCTTCCTGTGTCATACAACTCAGATGGCAGGATGGTTTAGCGAGTTTTAGAAAGAAAACTAAGATGTAGAAACTTACCAGGAAGTCTTTGCTTTGCAAGGCTGGAAGTAGGAGTTGGTGGTGGAGTAGTGCCTGTTCCTTGGGCTTTTGATACGTATGTAGATTCTGTGGATTCTAGAGAGCCTGCAGGTTATAAAAAAAAAAAAAAGTATCAAGTTGAATACAGCACAAACTAGACAAGTTTTCTGTTCATCTGTACTCATAAGGTATGTAACAATCTTATTTTTAATGCAAATTTCTGAGAGACTTAAAAAGACGAATAAATCTTTCCCTCGCGCTCATTCACAACACAGCTACACCCAGTATTCCTCTTCCCCTTCTCTGCTCAGCACTTGACAGGCTCCCAGCTGCAAGCTACTGACAGCAGTGTGCTCAGAAAGGAGATCTAGCAAGTACCCCAGGGAAACCTTGCTGTTCTCTGCCCTAAGCGCCTTCCAGTTGGTGCATCAAGAATCGGAAAGAAAGATCCCAAATACAGCAGAAAGCCTTCCTTGCTATTTACAAAGATAGCAGCCAGGCTCTTGTTCTAGGTCCAATACTTTGCTGAGTTCAGGAATATTCTTAAGACTCTGCCATAATTTTTACAGTGAAAATTTATACTTTCAGAAAGCATAACGTTAGTACATCAGTCTTAATGATGTAAAAGCTATAGCCAGTTCTTTTCACATGACCAGACATGAATAACAAATATAGGACTACAATAATAGTCTTTTACTTGTAATATTCCATTCATTCCCGTCTCGCACAAAGCCAGGTTCACACTTGTCCTCAGCTAGCTTTAGCCTGCCCTCATACTATTTAGCATGCAAACCAGTACTTTATCAACACGGCAATGGCCAGATATCTCAAACCAGTATTTCAGACAGAGCCGTCAAGTTCCAGTAGCAGAGCAGAATATCCGAGTGCCACCTGGCAAGCACACCCAAGAGGATACATGTGTATACACACGGGGAAGCAATGTTCTAAGACCTGAGCTACCCTGCTAGCTTACATACTTATAAATGCCAAACTATTGCAGCATATGGAACCAAAAGTCACAGAAATTATTCCTCTATTAATAAATGCCAGTGTCTAATTGAGCTTTTTTAATGTGACTCAACATGCAAGAACAAAATTTAAACTGTACAAGTGAGGTTAGAAGATTGTCTTATTGGGTGTTACAAAAATAGCAGAGAGTGTGTTCTCTTACATCCTGAGGGTGGATTATGTCACTCACCAGTCAGCACAAGAAAGCGTGTTGCAATTTTAGTATAAAATTGGAAATAGTTCTAATGACAGCATACCATGGCTGCAGATGCAGAGTCCTACCTGCTGTTAAATTAAACGTTCTTCCTTTCGGTGAGGCTTGGAATGGAGAAAACCAGTTCAGCACAGAGCCCACTACAGGTATCTGTCGTAGCAGTCCCTGCAAAGTACACAATGAAACACTGGCTGGTGAGCAAGCTACCCGTCTTGTGACAAGTTACTTCAAATTACCTAGATAGCTAATGTTTGTAGCCTTACCTCTTCCAGAAGGCGTTCTTCATTTGCTTTCTGAAGCTGAAGTTGTGCTTCCTGTATCCCTTTTCTAACAACTTCAGTCATGTTTTCCAACAGCTAATAAAAACCAGAAATTGTATTATCATATATATTATTTGGACTCGAAATTGCCTCTTAAGTTCAAGTTTTGAGGATGTAAACATGGTAGTCAGATATTTTTCTATTTTAAGACAGTATTTGACAATCACTATTTCATTACAACTGTAAATTAAAGAATGTTCAGGCTCACTGCAGGATTTGTAAAAGATATACCTGGAAGACAGAATGTCATTTTAAACAGGAAGAGTAGATACTTTTCCTTCACTTAGAAATGAGCCTGTGACCCAAATTCTTCAAAGATCTGCTTAGTGCATAAGTGTTTGTCAGGTGCTCAATCTGACTGGGAAGAATTTTTAGCATTATAGAGTACATTTGGGTTCTTTGAAGTACCCAGGGCTTAATCCAGCCTCACAGTAAGTCTAACCAGGTATTTGTCAGTCTAGGTTCAACTTTGTTTTTCAGATTTAATATACGACTGCCAATCTGAGCCCTGTGGCACCCTATGCCAGCATCAGCAATGTTCTGTGCTGCAAAGGACAGGCAGCTTATTGGGAGAGCTGTAGAGGCAATAAATGAACAAACGCAAGAGATCAAAAACCAAAGTCATAATTGTGTCTCGTGCAAGGCAAATGCCAATTTCCATAACTTACTTAACAGGACTTTTAATATTGCACAGGGCCTAAATGACAGGTACTTCCTCCAAAATGCCAAAAATTTGGGTTACTGTTGGTTAATAAAAAAGAAAGGAAAAAGAGGAAGCTGCTCCTTTTCCCTGGGGGACATTCAAGCCAGGAATTGACCAGGACAGCAAGCTTAACTCTCCCAGGGTGCTGGCTACAGAAGGGAATGCAACGCGATTGCACTTAGAATACAAAGAACCGCTGCATTTTCTGGTCCAGTCAAGATGTTTGTCTTCAATTTTGGTTCTGCCTCTTCTCTGTGTACTTATCTATATGTCCTAAGGGCTTGCTGATACTGGAGTAGTTTTTTTTTTTTCTAAACCCCTTCCCTCTTACAGCAAACATCACTATCTAAACGATGCAAGTGTCATTCTCCCAGATTGGTTCTGCTTCTCAGTTTTGGATCAAATGGTTTAAGATCCTTTCAGAACCACAGATTTATTGTAGCTCGTTCCAAGGACTGCACTTTTCTGAGTCCTCTCTCTAGAAGCTTCAGGATCAGTGGCCCATATTCCAACATTCAGCTCCTAATCTCTCAACTACAACAATTTAAAAAAATGAAATTATTCTAGAGGCAAACCATTGTTCGTCTTGCCCTCAAAGCAGCATAGGGAGTCAAGAGTGGGCAGAAAGTCTCCAGAAAACACTGCTAGAAAAAATTTCATTGCCAAAATCAACATATTCTCATGGGCAGAAATAGGCAAAGGATTTCTGAAGTTCTCTTTATTTTTTAGGTGAGGAAATAAAATGCCCAGCACTAGAGGAATGGAAGGGCAGACGTTCATTTGCGACACAGGTCATTTAGGAATTCTACTTAGAGAACGCTTAGAGAATTCTAATCAGGTAAACGCTTTTACAAAAAGGAGTTGCAGCATCAGCTTTATTACTTCAATAGGTAATTTCTAATTTCCATTTTTAAGCCACAGCTTGAAATTTTTCACACGTTTTAGGGCATAGTCTTATCTTAAAGCTGGTATATGAACAACCTCTATCCCACCACAGCTATCGGCGATGAGAAACACCAGCTCACAATCACACCCGCCTTCCCTTTTGGTTTTGTTTTTTTTTACAGCTTCAACTTTAGTGATAAAATAAGCTTATTTCAGTACTACTGAAGTTTTCCATTAGAACTACTGAACACAGGACCATGAACATAAATCAGGTTATCCTCTGAGTATCCTAATCCTGTAACAAAAGTTGTCCTTATGTGGACAGAGGTTATTATTTCCACAGTAATTAATACAGCTGGTTGCAGGCAAGTACAGTTTTTACTTTCACAAAGAACAAAACCATGTCCTGAAGCCAATATGGAAAGGTAAGAAAAAGGGTGCTGAAATGCTCTGGGATTTATTAATACATACTCTTGAATTTTCTTCAATTTCTCTGCCTGTTGCTGCAATAGTTTCAACTAACTCTGACACATCCAGATCCTCAGGTACCATGCCAATATAAACGCAGTTCTTCTGCCCTCCAAATTCTGGACCTGTGAGCACAGGGAGAATCAAGTCTTTGTGGTGTACAAAAACGCATTCTCACAACAGGTGCAACACTCATGCTCGCCAATCTGGAAATCCTAATACATACACACACCTTCAGTAACTGAGGGCAGTAGGTAGAAATTGCACACACTGAAAAAGCTCAGCCTGTAGCTTTTCAAAAAGAGAAGAGAAAACAACAAGAAAAACAGTGGATATTTTATACAGCCAAGGAATTGTATAATAAATATCAGCACCGAATATCCTTCAAAGTTGTTACTTTCTGCAATTTACAGGTTACTTGGTTCCACAGTTACAGGGCACTCAACTTTTGAAAACTGACTAGAAAAATATCAGAGTTCCAAGTAGGCAAATAAATATTATTTCAGCTATAATGTGGTACTACGTAAATGCGAAAGTGCTGCTCATTATCGTGAAAGTCAAGTTTTTAATCTAGCCACAGGAAGCGGTGAACTGGTCAGTGGGTTTTGGATGAAATCTGCTTTTCACTAGATACAGCACTAACTGCGAAGGCTCAGTTACAGAGAGGAACACTGCAGCTCTTACTCTTTCTGACAAGGAAACCCTTTTTGGTCAAGCTGCCCATAAGTCAGTCTTCACAAGTATTTCTGAGAAGAGTGCACTTTTGCTCACCCTGCTGGATATTTACCAACTGAAATAGGGGTAAGGAGGAAAGAGTTACAGATGTTTCTACAATAACCATATAGGCAGCAGGGTAATTTTGCATTATAATGGCCTATGTAAAAATGACCTGTGGAACCATTATAACACAGCCAGTAAAACGACTATTAGCTTGAATAGAAGACATTTTAAAATAGTGCAGTTACCCAAAGAAAAAGCAAGATCCGACTCCAGTTCATTTAATTTTTTCAGAAGTTCTGTATTGATTTTTTCTAGTTCTTTTTCTTGTTTGTCATCATTCTTCCCATCACTGTGATAGTTGTATCTTCAAACCAAACCAGAAGATAGTAATTTCACTTTACAGTACATACAAAAATACACATACATTTAGCATGTTTCTACAAATTTCTCTATCTTATGAACCAAAAATCTCAAAACATTACAGCTTAGACTAACAAGTTGATTGGCATTTGTCATCAGAGATTTTGTGGTGGGGCAAGCTTGCTGCTGCAAACTTAACACAACAGCTTTCTAGGTAACGTATTGATTATACTTCAACTGGTTTGACTTTTTGGAATCATTTCCCAGAAGACTATGTCAGAGGATCGGAACAGACACTTGAAGGGTTTTTGAAGTGGTATTCAGCATTATAGATAAAAATTTAAGTTACTCTTGGCTAAATATAGTAGGATGCCCTTGCATGTTACATATCCATCTAACAAATCCACATGCTGCCTCCAGTATTAGAACTGTTGCCCTAATTTTGCTAAAACAGCTTTTCAGCTTTTCTTTAAAATAATAAAAATCAAACAACATTAAAAAGGTAATTTTTAAATAAGCACTCAAAAGCTTCAACTGTGTGCAAAGCCAGATAATAATCAGCAAACGATGCATCCAAATCACCAGTGAAGAGACCACGTATTCCCTTCTGTTAATGCAGTCTATCCAAATATATAATGAAGAAAATACTGAAAAATTTACCTTACAACACCTAATCCTGGCCAGCTAAGATCTTCAATATACAACAGGCCTACTGTTCTTCTCACTTCTTGCTCAAATTCCTCTCTCAGTTGCAGCGTGCTTGTCAATACTGGTATCTTCATTTTTAAGCAGTCTACTAACTGATCAACATCTTGTATTTCAGTTCCTAAAACTAAAGAGCTGATGTGTTAATACGTGCTAAAACGTGAACAGATAGCACATAGATGTCTGAATTAAGTAATCTGTAAAGAAGCCACTCTAAGTCAATCATAAATATAATTTACAGATCATATTGAAATATCTTGATCTATATAACAGTGTTTTTTCTTCAGTTTTCTATACATCAAAATGGAGCGAGCTAAGGATGTAATAAAAAACATACTAATAAAAAGGATTTTCCAATGTTACAAACTAATAAGGACAATACCCTTTTTCATTACATCAGTAGCTAGCATCAGAAAAATTCCTCTTCCCATAGCCAAACAGATAATGAATTAGGCTTCCATGCTGGTTTAAAACAAGACAAAACATCACAGCCATCACCAAGTAATTTTGTTCTAAAAATCTACTTTTCTGTGTACACCAGGATCCTCTCACGTCAACATCAGGTGTTTTGATAGCCTAAGCCACTCACCCCACACAAGCTAAAAGGAGACACCATGCATCACCCTGAGCCTTGCCAAGTTGCTCTGTGCATCTCCTGAATCTAAACAAAGTACATATACAGTGCTGGCTTAAACATGAAATTTAAGACATTTTACAAAGCACAGATTTTTATCCTCCCTCTTCCCCCGCCACTAGTAATTATAGAAAAACCTAGAGGTTTAGTAAACAATTGTTCTAGTTAAGTAGAACACAAGCACCATTTTGTTGTTGAAACACTTGTGTAGAAAGGTCAAGCATCTTGTGTTAAGCAGCTGAGAGAAGGAAAGGTAAGTATGATTCATCCTTCATATTTCTTTTATAGCTGTTAGAAACAAAGAGCTTCTCTCCTTGCTTTTGCTAACAAATTTTAAAAATAATCAGTAAAGGCCTTTCTCTGCAGAGGTAGTGAGGCAATGTCACCCACAATAGCTGAGCTACTGCTAACGTGCCCATTTCCAAGGCACAGCAGAATGATAAAGCTGTGATAGTTTATTTTGTTTATAAGAAAATCCTCACCATAGGAGAATATACTAAAAAGTTTCTTGAGTGTATCTGCTTTTATACTAGGAGATTGTTGTACAATTCTATAGCAAATCCCAGTTTTTACAAGTGGCTGAATGAAAAGTGAATGTTACCTGCAGAAGTCATTAGTGGGCTAAAACGCACACATGTGCCTTCGTCTTCCAGTTCTACCACATCAACTCCACTGACAGGAACCAGCTGGGCCAACTGCTCTCCTAGCTGAAGGAATAAGGCACAGTTAAAGAAACATACAGAGCATGACCTGCTGCAGTCCTTGACTCAGGCTAGACTCTTCCCACAGTTAAGGGGAACCACACGCTAAACACAGTTTTCTGTATTTCTCAAATTCACTTCTTGTAACGAAACACTTTAGCTTGCAGGTGACTAAGTGGAATGTATACTTAAAATCATGAAAATTCAGGGTAAGCTACAAGCGTTACAAGTCAGAAGTTTCTGCAAAATTGTCACTGTCTTCAAGTATGCCATGATTACTACACAATTCATCCATAATGGTTACGTGCTCAGCTCTCTGAAAGCATGGGTTTCTAGAATTAAGAGAATTACTCTTAAGATCTGAAAAAGACAGACAGTCTATTCATGAATACACAGACATTGTCAATGAAGTATCTAGCTGATTAAAAGGAGTTCTAAAGTTTTCACATATTTCCACAAGACCAAGGAAAAAATCCAGTACCAACAGCTTAAGATGCAGTAGTGATTTCAGTAGTAATTACAAGTAGAATAATTAGAAATGTGAAAGTAACTTTGCTTAGAGAAAATTCATCTTTTAAATCCAAAATGCCCACTAGTTTTACAAAGGATATCCGATCAAGAATAATTATCGAACTAGTCTACCAAAGGTTTTATAACTACTAGTGAACCCCTGGAAGTATTCCACTGGCACTTCTTTTTTCTTAAAGAGAAAAAGCATCCATTCTTACCCACTGATTGAAAGTGTCATAAATGTGTCTTTCATTGCTTATTATGGGGTGTTGAATAGTTGAGGCCTGTGCAGCATGTGAGGTTTGATCTGAATCCAAAGATAAAAGAATCACAGAAGTGGATTTTTATTTACTTAATTAAACAAAAAGCAACCTAAAATTTAGACAAAAGACAATTACATTTCTTAAGTAATGTAACACATCTACATGATGTACTGGACTTCAAGGAGACTAACAAGGCTTTTTTTTTTTTTAAAGGTATGTTGAACATGACAAATACTGTTTTACTATAAGTAAAACAGGGTTGAGTATACTAGTTTTAAAAACAACCAATAAAACACTTCTCTTGGTTTTGAGGTTCAAATGCCCCAATGGGAATAAAACCAATGTTTTCACAAAGAAAAATCCTGAATCAAGTTTTAATGATTAATTTCCGTTTTGAATAACACAAAAATAATACTAAGGATTTACAGAGTCCACTATATACATAAAACATGCAGAAATGGACAAACATCTTACATCCTAATAATTCAGGTGGGTGACTTCTCCCTAGTAAAGCTTTTCAAATAAATGCATCCATGTACAAAGCTATCCACCAAGTCACTGGACCTGGATGAATAGATTTACTTTGTGAGCGCAACCACTAATTAGATTAAAAGCAAAACCAATCCTCACCTACACTCAACACAAAAAAAAATCCTCAGACAATTAAAATCAACACTCATAACACAAAGTTTTTAGCAGTTTTTTGCTTCATCCCAGCTGGACATGCCCCACCCTCTTGAGTGTGCACAGACAAACAGCAGAACAACATCCTCTGTTGTAGCTGAGAGGACAAAAATCCTCTTTCTTGGACAGCACATCTAACTAAGGATGTTCTGCTCAGAACTACATGTGGCCTGGCTACTGTATAGTCATGACAGCATCTCCAGAGCTGTTCTGAACACGTTCTGCTATTTTTAAAACTATTGCAACAGCAAGTGTAATCAGTAACACAGAGAAACGTCAGTAACACAGAGAAACGTCAGTAACACAGAGAAACGTCAGTAACACAGAGAAACGTCAGTCTGGCAGCTAGCCACTAAAAGTTTAAAAGGAACAGAAAGCCTGAACAAAACCAAGGAAGACCTTCCCCTACCAGTATGCTCAAAACAAGCTTGCAGCTTGTAAGACTTCCATCACCTGCTCTCAAGACCAAAATCATATGCAAATCTTATTCAAGAAGGCAGAAAATGACTTGTTATGAAAACTTAAAACACTGCAGTCTATCTAAAAAAAGTTATCACATGTATGTATTCCATCACTAGATTATGACCAGCATTCACAACCTTTTTAAAAGCATGTTACATGAGGCACACTATGTAACATTTACCTCATCAAATTCTATATGGATTTGGGTATCTATAGGGAGAGGTTTTTTTGGTTTTGTTTTTAAATAAATCACATACCTCTATTTGAATATTCCCAGAAGAATTTGAAAACCACCACTGGTGAACTCAGTTCATCTTCAACCTTAAAAAAAAAATTTACATAATTTTCAGATATTTTTTAAAGATTTAATACTGTATCATTCCTTAGACTACTGAGCAAAGAAGATAATTTTGCTTTGACATCAGTAACAATGTTCACATTATTTCTGTATTAGAAGTTAACTCTAGGAGTGTAAGTTAACATACCTGTAAACAGGAAATTAAATCATTATTCGTTTAAAGCAGAATTGCATTGGCTTAAGGTATGCATAATTAAGATTTGGGCACTATAAAGCAAGAAACCCAAGCATGTTCATTACCAAATATACTGTATTAAACAGTTTAAGTATTTTCAGATACTAACATTAAAAAAATTCTCTTGGAAATCACCCCAGAATCATTGGAGAACATCAAGAAAGTTACAGCAG